TTTGTGAGTTTGAGCCCCGCATTGGGCTCTCTGCTGTCAGCACGGAGCCCGCTCTGGATCCTCTGCCCGCCACCCCCACCCCCACCCCACGGCCCCTACCCTGCTCACGCTGTCTCTCTCAAAAATAAAACATAGGGGCGCCTGGGTGGCGCAGTCGGTTAAGCGTCCGACTTCAGCCAGGTCACGATCTCGCAGTCTGTGAGTTCGAGCCCCGCGTCAGGCTCTGGGCTGATGGCTCAGAGCCTGGAGCCTGTTTCCGATTCTGTGTCTCCCTCTCTCTCTGCCCCTCCCCCGTTCATGCTCTGTCTCTCTCTGTCCCAAAAATAAAAATAAAACATAAAAAAACAAAAACAAAATGGATTAAAGACCTAAATGGAAGACCTGAAACCATAAAAATCCTAGAGGAGAACATAGGCAGCAATGTCTCTGTCATCGGCCGTAGCGATATTTTTCTAGGTATGTCTCCTGAGGCAAAGGAAACAAAAGCAAAAATAAACTATTGCGACTACATCAAAATAAAAAGTTTCCGCATGGCGAAAGAAACAGCAAAACTAGAAAACAACCTACAAATGGCAGAAGATATTTGCAAATGGCTTATCTGATAAAGGGCTAGTGTCCAAAATACATGGAGAACTTACATAAGTCAACACCAAAAGACCCCGAATAATCCAATCAAAAGACGGTGCAAGACATGAGCAGACATTTCTCCAAGGAAGACATGCTGATGGCCAACAGAAACAGAAGATGCTCATCGTCACCGTCGGGGAAATGCAAACCGAAACTGCAGGGACACATCACTTCGCACCCGCCACAATGGCTGAAATCAAACGCACAAGAAACAGCAAGTGTTGGCGAGCGTGTGGAGAAACGGGAACCCTCTTGCGCTGCTGCTGGGAATGCAAACTGGTGCAGCCGCTCTGGAGAACAGTGTGGAGGTTCCTCAAAAAGTTAAAAAGAGAACCACCCCAGGACCCAGCAATTGCACTACTGGCGATTTACCCAAAGAACACAAAAACACTAACTCAAAGGGATACACACACCCCTGTTGACTGCAGCATTATTTACAGTAGCCAAATTATGGAAGCGGCCCAAGTGCCCATCAACTAATGAATGGATAGAGATGTGGTATATATACACAATAGAATATTACTCAGGCATAAAAAAATGTAATCTTGACATGTGCAACAACACGGACAGATCTAGAGAGTACAATGCTAAGCAAGTCAGTCAGTCAGAGAAAGACAAATACCATAGGACTTCCCTCTTATGTGGAATCGAAGAAACAAAGCAAATGAGCAAAGGAAAAAAGAGAGACAGAGAGACAAACCAAGATACAGACTCTTAACTACAGAGAACACACTGATGGTCACCAAAGAGGAGGTGGGTGGGGGATAGGGAAACAGGGGATGGGGGATTAAGGATGCACTTGTGATGAGCACCGGGTGATGTGGTGTTGAATCACTACACTGTACACCTGGAACGTATTACACCGTGTGTTAAATAACTGGGATTAACATTTAAAAAATAAAATGAGGCTTGGGTATAGATTTCAGTGTTTATGGCCAAATGGGATAAGGGAGTAGAATGAGGTAAGAAGAAATTACAGAGATTTAGGAAACTAGCCGAGAGAGTGAGGATTACAGAGTTAGTAATAATAATAGAAAAAGGCAGCTGAAAAAATTATAAAGTGCCGAGTTGTGCGACAAATTGAGTCTAACATTAAATCGATACTTTTGGGGAAGAACGATCCGAATCACCGTGTGTGTCTTTACACGTTGTGTCTGTGCACGGGTATGTACTTGTGTGTTTATGTGTGTGCGCGCGCACGTGTTGGTGTGTAGATACAGAATCGGTCGAGTCTCATGACTCTGCTTTATGTGAAAAAGCGTAGCCTATATTTTCAAAAATGATTACGAGATGGCGTATGCAAATGAAAAATTTACACGCGTAGGTAAAATGACTATCATGTGTAATTAAGCTTTTCTAAGAGAAAAAAATCAATAATTTCTGATTCCAAAGCCATTATCACATTAGAATTACTAAGAATTACTGTCTGTGCAGAGTAGAGAAAAGAGCAGGCCGAGAACTCCGTTCGCGGACTTGAGAGTGAGTGACCCCTGGAGAGATGGCGGGTGTGAGGAAGGCGGAGGACGGCGCTGGGACAGCTAACTGGCCAGAAGACAGGTGTACCGCGGTGAGCAGCAGGCAGCCCATTATCTTGGTCGGTGGACAAGGACTTTTAAAAACTAGATACAAAGCTCAGCGGAACGGAGAGCCGGAAGGGAGGTCAGCGCCCTCAGAGGAAAGGGTCACTTGCCCAAGACAAACGGAGGTGGCACATGCTCTTCTTATGCAGTAACTTTGGGAGTTGTAGCCGATTGGCCGTCCCTCCTGTCCAGGAGATGGTGCTGGAGAACGCACGGCGTTTCTCGTGTCCACCCCGTACGCCGATGTGGGCAGGGGGCTTTCACCGGGACTGTCCCGTTTCCCTAAATACGTTTTGCTCCTCAGTTCACGCTACAACGTGCATCGTAGACTCAGAAAATAGTTTTCTCTTATATCGAATGGCGGATTCTCCCTCTACAGCCCCCGCCCTCCCTCTGCCCACCTCCACTTGGGCAGCCAGCAGGGGCTGCTGCCGGCCCCGCTCATCCGCCAGAGCCACCCTGCGCCTCTGTCCCCCGTGGGCCCGAGAGGACGCCTCCCGTGGGGCCAGGCAGCACTCGTGGTGCATCCCCCCCGGCGCTCAGGCTGCCCTTGCCCTACAAGCTCCTCCCTCCATCAGTGGTGCGGTCTTGTCTTCGAGACACAGGGTTTTAGGGTTATTTACTCACACGTTGCATTTGGTGTTGTCCTGCTCCTGAGCACAAATCAGCTGTGTTTTCTTGATTAAATCCGGGACATAATGCCATCACAGTCAGCCAAGGTCCCAATTTTCTTTTGCACACACCCGTAACTATGTCGCCTGGACCAACGACCTGAAAGGTCCTGGGAAAGGGCCCTGGGAACATCCAGCACCGTCCTGTTTGAGGGCCGAGCCTCAGTGCACTTACCTCCAGGACCCCTGTACAGTTCCGGGCGCTCTCAGAAGCCCCCTAGCCAGGGCGCAGATGAGGGAGGGGGGTTTACAAGATGCACAGAGACAGCACCTCGCCCGAGAAGGTCAGATTGGGAGTCGGATAAAACCAGGAAGCACGTCGTGAACATCAGCCTCTTCCCCCAAAGCACGGGACTGAGGTCACTTATGCTTTACACACTGAAGGCGCGATAACGACGGGGAGAAGAGGGATCCCTCTATACGGTAAAGAGTAATTTTCTATCACTCATTCTTACAAATGGGAGTGCAGGCTAAAAAGAAACAAGTAAGTGTGGGAAAGATCTAAATAAATGTGTAAGGGAAACTTCCATACATAATGACTACAGGAAAGTGTGACTGCGAATTCTGTCTTAGAGATTTAAAGCTCACCTCACGTCAGAATGCCACAGTCTCATACAGGACACGCTAGCGAAAACAATATGGACTATCAGGGTGCTTGGGAGGCTCAGGTGGCGAAGTGTCTGACTCTTGATGTCAGCTCAGGTCAGGACCTCACAGCTTGTGAGCTCGAGCCCTGAGTCAGGCTCCGCGCTGACCGCGCAGAGTCCGCTTGGGATTCTCTCTCTCCCTCTCCGCCCCTCCCCCACTCACACGTGCACGCTCTCCTGCCCTCTGTCTCTCAAAAATAAACTTTATTTATTTTTTTTAAATTTTTTTTTCAATGTTTATTTATTTTTGGGACAAAGAGAGACAGAGCATGAACGGGGGAGGGGCAGAGAGAGAGGGAGACACAGAATCCGAAACAGGCTCCAGGCTCCGAGCCATCAGCCCAGAGCCTGACGCGGGGCTCGAACTCACGGACCGCGAGATCGTGACCTGGCTGAAGTCGGACGCTTAACCGACTGCGCCACCCAGGCGCCCCGCAAAAATAAACTTTAAAAAATATACACTACCACTCAATCTGAAGCAGGTAACACAAAGATGAACTCGAACAACGTATCAGCACTTATAATGGACATACACTGCCGAGCGCCTACTGTGTGCTAGGCCTCTGTCAACACAGCTCCACTTGTTCGGGCCCCGCTGCAAGGTCGAGATTATCACTGTCCTGTTACACGCGCACGAGGGCGGAGCTGGGGTGGCAGCGCCGGCTCAGCCGGCTCCTTCCGCCGTGCGAAGTCTGTCCCTTCTGTTTGGGCTTCGATGATGGAAAGTTGCTAAGCCAAAAAAGGGAAACGTAACCGATAAAAAAAAGGGTTAAAGGGCACCCAGGTGGCTCCGTCGGCTGAGCGTCCGACTTCGGCTCATGTCACCATCTCATGGTTCGTGAGTTCGAGCCCCGCGTCGGGCCCTGTGCCGACGGCTCGGAGCCTGGAGCCTGCTTCGGATTCTGTGTCTCCCTCTCTCTCTGCCCCTCTCCTGTTCACGCTTTGTCTCTCTCTCAAAAATAAATAAACATCAAAAAATTTGAAAAAAAAAAAGGTTTAAAGAAAGGGTAGAAACTGCCGTTACTTATTTCTGAAACTCTCCCATTTGGTGACTCTGGGAGGCCCTGGGAGGCCCCAGTAAAACGCAGCACTGCAGGCCTTTATTTTTACAAAGTTCTCCTGTTCTTTTAACTCGCAATGCAGGGGGTGTGAGAAACTAAGCCCGTTTCCATTCCTTTTTCCTAAGAGATTATTGAAGCGGGTGTCACGAAATGGCCAGACAAAAGTTGCTTTGAATTTAAACTTCTCCCAATTTTACGAATTTTATGGTTTCACTAGAAGAGAAGATCTGTCCCCCACTGTCTGGGTTGGAAAGTCAGTTTACGTTGACCGGGATTTTTAGCAGCATCTCAACCGTTTTTAAAAAGCCCGCGCACGAACGAGCGTCGGGCGTCCCCAGCCTCTGCTGGTCTTCCTGCCCCCGCTGAGTCTCACCCGCGCGCACACACTCTGGGGGATCGAGGGCCTTCCCCTACCTTTCCTTCAAAGAATTTTCTCCTCAACTTGGCGTCCGTGGGCGGCACTGTTCTCCTCAGGTCTCGGTACCACTTCCTCACCACGTGTCCCCTCCAGGAGGCCTGGATCCTGGAACACAGGTGTTTGAAATGACTGACTCAGGACGGCTTCGACAGGCGTTTCAAAACCGGGCGAGACCGGGTGGGGTGGGGCCGCGGTCGAGGCGGGAGGCAACATCCCCGCGACCTTGAACGTGAACCGTCACGGCTGGGCTGCAGGACAGTGCGTCCCGGGTGGGCCGTGGGGCCCGCGGGCGCGGGGGACCCTTCCTACCTTGTCGCACACTTTACTTTGAACAGCCGCGCTCCGTCGTGAATCACTCTGGTTTGGTACTGGTTCTTTCTACAGAGGGGGCAGGTTTTTTTATTTGCGAATTTTTCAAAAGCCTGGAGGCATGCCTGAAGAAAAACATTGAACGTTTTATAAGTAATTACTTATAAATAACATTTTTACTTCTAGTGTAATTATAGCGCTCTTTTCTCTCATAATTATGAGACAGTCCAATTTAGATGAGAGCATAAAGGGAAGAAGTTTCATCAGATGTTAACACCTTCCTCATGAAACTTGTTCCAAAAGTGAAATTTTACAAGAATGTACATGCAGCTACATCAAAAACTCCTGCCAACAGCTCGCGTCAAGGGAGGTGACGGCTCGTGCGTGAGGCTACCGCAGTCGGGCCTGGGAAGCGGGCCGTCACTTTGATGTGCGCCACCAGGAGGAGTGTGTTATACAAACACTTGCGCGTCTTTCGTCGCAGAAGACTCGGGACTTTCAAAACAGGATGAACTGCGCTGTAGCCTAAAGTCGTATTTCTAACTCTAAGCGGTGGTGACGGATAAGGCAAGTGGTTCTTTTCAGGAGACTTTAAATGAGCGATCGCTACACGGGCGACGCACTGCGCACTTTACGAGGGAAGGAGGCGGGACTCACTCACTCTGTGAAACACATGGGAACATGAAAGCAGCACCTGTTTGCGAGAAGACAAAAATGTTTGAAGTTTAAATTGGTTTTCAAAGAGCAGCAGCATAAATGCATTAATTAAAAGAAAAATTCTGAATGCTTAAAAGGTAGGCTGTGTTGTTTCTTTGAAAAATTAAAAAAGCAGATTAATAACCTTGATATTTCTAATATTTAAAGTTGAGCACAGCACAGGTATATCATCTCGACGAGAAAAACTCCATTAACAACAGTCTGAAACATCAGACACAGGATGATTGCTAGTAAGCCGTTAAAATGAGTGTGTTAAATACGTTAGGAAATAGATGTGTTTCCTGGGCAGACCCTGGGAGGGAAGGGGGCTGGCGCGTGGGGAGGGAGGTGCCTAAGGAGGAGACGGGGGAGCGCGAACAAATGTCTTTGCTTAGGGCTTTGTTCAACCGACGGCGGCTTTATTAATTCTAACACACTTCAGTTTAAACAGCAATAAATCCTACACACATACGAAACACTTGTTCTCTCTGAAATGCAGGGAAAGTGCGCTCACAAGAAAGCATCACCTCTCTGTGACCCAAATTCTCCACCGCACAGTGATATTCTGGGCTGTGGAATAAGGAAGAGGGTAGGTGGTTCTTCTGGAAGGAGAACCAGGGGGTGATACCAGGACACCAGCCCCAGTGAGCTGCGAGCACGCGCACGGAGGGAGCCCGGCGAGAGGGCCCGCGGCCCTGGCTTCGCCCAGAGAGGAGGAGAGGGGCGTCGAGGGGCTCAGCTCCCAGCAGCCTCTAACACTACTCCTGCCGTGAACACTTCCCCGGTTCCCCCCACCCCCCTCCTTCACTCTACTCTTCCCCTCTTAAATAGGAAGAATGGAAGAAATACCGGACTAGATAGAACCCACAAAGTTAAAAAACCTCGACTTGAAACTGACTGCCAATAAGCCTAAACTGGAAAACCTTAGTAACGCGGGTCCTGGTTAATTATCGCCATTAATCTAACAGCACCCTTTGGTGTGCTCGATTTTGCATTCTTTGTGGAATATCCGTCAGTGTTTCATCAGCAGATATTTGAGGATCTATGATGTTGAATAACACTGTACTTCTGTATATTTAAAATAAACTCTTTTTTAATGTTTATTTTGAGAAACAGAGCATGAGCTGGGGAGGGGGAGAGAGAGAGAGAGAGATTAAGAATCCCAAGCAGGCTCTGAGCTGCCAGCACAGAGCCTGATGTGGGGCTCGATCCCATGAACTGTGAGATCATGACCTGAGCCAAAATCAAGAATCAGATTTAACCGACTGAGCCACCCAGGTGCCCCTAAAATATACTTTTAAACGTCCATAAATGTTTGTTATCGGCAAACATTATCTGAGATAAAAGTAAATGACCAAGTGGTGGTCCATATGCTAGAAGTTGGGACTAGATTCCAGCTGACCTTGAACATACTTCCTGAGTCACGCTGGTGTGGGTCACTTGACTTGCTTGTGCCCTCATCTATTAAATGGGTACAATGCCTCCCTCTGGGACGCACAAGACAACTGAGGTCCTCTGAAATCATAAATGCTGGAGGAAATACCAGCTGTTGTTTGTGACTAAGGAAAACTCTAAACACAGAACAACAAACAAAGTAAACATGCAAAATGAACACAAGTGTCTGTAACTGTGACCAAACGAAATAAAGACTGAGTGAGAAATGTATAAAAACCAGAATGGAAGAGATGGGCATGGTGCATCCCGTCCCTGCTCCCTCCAAGACACTTGGAATAAGCTGTCATTCTTCATACACCAGTCAGCCTCAGTATTTACAGCGTAATTAAAAAAGACGTTGCTGGGGCCGGAAAGACTAGTTGTGGTTCTAGTCACTCTTGCCCCACTAAGATACTAAATTATCCTAGATGGTAATTCTGTGGTTTAAGGGCTAAAATCTCTCCCAGATCCCCAGCTTTCATGCAGGTAAGATGAGGTCTTGATAGAGAGCTAGAATACAATAAGTACGTTTCAAATAACTTGTGAATTCAAATTAGTAAAGAACAAACATTTTATGGCTGTGAACTAACTTGTTAACGATGAAACTCATTAAAACAAATTAAGTTTGAGAGTTACGTGCCAGGTAGTGAGGAAAGCCCGAGGTTCCCAGGCTATGAACTGAGAGCCTGCCCTGACTCTGTTTGCTGTATTTTCCAGCAAACCTGCACCTGCTCGGTAGGAAGCACGGGCAGCGCCCACAGGAAGGCACTGTAGGGCGGCTGCGAGCTTAACACAAAACACCAGATCCTCGAGGGGGGAGCGCCCCTAAGTGTGAGGGGATCACAGGAGACTGGGCAGGCACCGTGTGCACAGAAATCTCTATGACGCGCCTCGACTGCATATTGTCTAGAAGATCAACCTTACTATGGTAAGGGTTCGTGAATAAAGACGTTAAAAGATTTTACTTAAACATTCTTATACAAATTCTTTGGAGATTCAAGTTTTCCTTTTTCTTTTTTTTTCTTTCTTCCTCCCTCCCTCCCTTCCTTCCTTCCTTTTTTCTTTCTTTTTTTTTTTATGATTTCAGTTCACAAAACAACTTAAAATTCCCCTTTCCTCTCCTTCTTCCTGCACTGCAGGCCTCCGCTCACCCTCTAGCTCGTTTCCGGCCAAGGGAACAGGAGCATTCCTTTTGTGCAGACTTTGTGCTTGAGAATATCATTCAGTAAATAAACAAAACTGTTTAATGAGAGTGTTTACCTCTCTCTCACACACACTCTAATTAACGGAAGAGAAAACGTAAGTATTTGAGGTCACGTAGGCGGAAGAAATCGGAGAAATGAAGGCTGGGATCTGAAGCTCCAGCTTCGTCTAGTCCCCAAGCCTGCTTATCTGATTTTCCCGCTACACACCTGGGGGCGAAGTTCAAATTCTTCTTTGCATATTGGGCACGGCTGCGTTGAGTCCCCTTGCATGATGGATCTTTGTTTCACTTTTTCCCATTCCTCTGATGATAGTGGCAAAGGGGGAGGTTCAAACAGGCCCAACTTCTGAGCTGAAGTGAAAACAAGAGAAAATGAAGGTACAATACATCCAGAACATAGTACTCATAATTTAATGACATTGTTTTGCAAACAAATTTGAAAACAAAACATACGGCGTACTTTCTTCCACCATATGGGGAACACTGGTCTTCTATGGGTGCTAAAGGTCAACGGTAGGAACGCTTTTATTTACAAAGAATTTCCCATACTTGTGTCATTTTCACAGTATTCTCCACGTAGGCAGGACTGCTATCCGGTTTTCAGGGAGAGAAGCTGAAGACTCTGACGTTTCCACATGTCTCGGCCAAAGGTTCTCACTTGTCGCCTATTTTAGGGTTCAGCCTTCAGTGTTGTCTTCTTCCGATTTAGCCCACTTTTTGCCACCAGTGACCTTCACAGAATGAGTATCAATCAAGTTTATCCCTTGCTGAAGATTCTCATGAGGTAGAATTACTGTCAGGATGGACTGACCACCGAAGCGATACTCGACAGCCGGCATGTGTTCTCCTGGGTCAAGTGTGGAGCTCATGCCACAGTGGGAGTCAAGTGCCTCCCCGGGTGAGGGAGCAGGTGCGGCGCCCCCCGCGGGCTCTCTGCAGACGGACAGTGAGGTGTTGCAGCTGGAAACCAGAGTAGGAAGCTGTGCCAGGGACACCCTGAGCACCAGCAGAGCGCTCCAAAATGGGAACTTGTGTCGCGGAGACGTGAGCGTCAGCTGGAAGACAGGAAGGGGGAGTGAAGGCCAGCTGGCCGAGAGGCCAGCTGAGGGAAAGCAGGGGTAGAACACGGGAGGGCCAGCGTGGGAGGCCTGCGCCCACATAGACGGCCCAAGGTGCGGGCCCCCACGCACCTGCTCCCGGGAGGCTGCCAGTGGGGCACATGCCCGGAGGAGTAGTGGCAGTCAGGGATGGGTACAGGTGGGAGTGCAGGACGGGGCCAGCCCTTGGGGCACATGGAGGAGACCCCCGGCTGTGGGCCCTGCGCTCGCCCCGCACAGCAGTGATCCACATGGGAGCACGGTGATGGAAGGTTCCAGAAGGAGTGGCTCCACAAACTGTCCTTTAGTGTACTGAAAGAATATGCTTCTAAGAACTTTTTTGGGGGGATAATTTTGGGTCTTTTCCTACCAGTTATTAAGACATATTACAAAGCTCTTATTAATTAAAACAGTAAAATACTGGTCCAGAGACAGAAGCCCCCAAATCATAACCCTCCTCTCTCTCCCTCTGTGTCACCGTGGGATCCTGGCACAGGAAGAAGGGGGGTGCTGCGGCTCAGCAAACAACACGTAACAGTGTGCTGACATAAATGCTTCTGTCAACTGCTGTTCCCAGTACCTTGTGCAAAATAAACTGTGACGAGGTCTAAATGGGAAAGGCAAAACTTTGAAGGTAAATAAAGAAAATGTGGAAAATCTTTGTCATCTCGGAATGGATGAGGATTCCTTAAATCCCCCAAAGCATAAACAATAACAGAGAAAAGCCAATGGATTTAACAGTAATCAGAAGGAATATTTTATTCAATAAAAAATAACACACAAAATTAAAAGAGGTGCCAGGCCAGGAGCAGATCTTCTCAGTGGTAAATCAATGAGGGATTAATATGCAGAGTACATAAAGAACACCACCAAATCAGCAAACGGAGACCTGACTGCCATACCAGGTAAAGGCAGTAATGAAACCTATGATTTGGGCGCCTGGGTGGCTCAGTCTGTTGAGTGTCTGGCTCTTGATTTCAGCTCAGGTCATGATCTCACGGTTTGTGAGTTTGAGCCCTGCGTTGGCGTCCACACTGTCAGCACGGTGCCTGCCTCGGATTCTCTCTCTCTCTCTCTCTCTCTCTCTGCCCCTCCCCTGTTGGCACATGCACTCTCTCTCTCAAACTAAGTAAACTTAAAAAACAAAACAAAACATGATTCAACCTTATTAGTGATTAATGAGCAGAACAGTTAAAACTTTTTTTTGCAAATGTGAACAGCTCCTGAAAGAGTATGTCATTTCCTCTCCTATTTAATCTCCCTTATTTTCCAAGTTGTGAAGTTCTTCCTGATGTCTAATTTAAATCTTTCCTGCTAAACTATGATGATCATCTACTTGATCAAATCCGTAAATTATAGACGCACAACGGAAGACAGTCACTAAGTTATTATGTAACATCACACCAAGCCTCTGCATGTTCTCGAGCTACGCCGTCTCCTAGAACACGACCGGCACTGTTTGCAGTTCAGAGGACAGTGCCAGGTGTCCGCTGGGCACCGCTGTGGTGGCAGGCTCCCCTCCACGCTGTGCGGCCGCAGCCCCCAGGCTTCCCAGCACGCCTCCAGCCAGCACACGCGCGCGAGGGCTACACGCCCCCGGACAGACCTATTTTCCGTGCCCGGCATCGTTTAAAACTCTTCTCTATTTCTAAATTTACAGCCTAAAGTAATTTGAGACTTGCAAAATGTTGTAAAACCAGTATAAAGAATCCTCGTGTGCCTTTTACCCAGTTTCCCCAAATGTTAATATTTTACATAACCCTAGTTCGATGATCAAAATGAGGGAATTCGTGTTGATCTAGCAGGTGCCAGTTAGTCTGTATTCCTCACGGATCTCCTTCTTGTCTCACCGAAGTCCCCTTTTTGTCCCAGATCACACACTGCAGTCCGCTGTCCTATCCCCTGCGTCCCCTCTAATCTAGGACGGATTCTCTGTCTTCATTTGCTCTCCTTGACACTTTTGAAGAGAGGCCCAAACTGTACAATGTCCATCAGTTTGGGTGTGTCTGAAGTGTCCTCGTGATTAAATTCACATGTGCATTTTGGCGACGGCACTTTCTCAGAGCACGGGGTTGGGGTGCGTGCTGTCAGCGTGGGGCCCTATGGTGACGGCACTTGGGTCGCTTGGTCAGGGTGCTGCTGGCACAGTGTCACCAACATGAGGCTGCGGTGTCTCCCTCTGTGGTGAGTGGACGCTCTGTGAGGCTGTGACTACATCCTGCGTCTCAACATGGTCTCCCGCCGGCCTCAGCATCTGCTGACGCCTTGTTCTTACTGTGCTGTTGGCCAGACGGTGATTTTCGAGTTCTGGCCCCTGTCTATAGATTTATTAGTTCTCGTTCTCCTGTGAGAGTGCCTGATTTCCGCCAGTGTGGACCAGTGGATAGTTATCGTATTCTACTATTTTTACTTATTCATCTTTATTTTCTTGCCCGGATCGTCCCCGTAATTTTTAAACTTTAGTACGTACATATATTTTTGTAAGATTATAAATGAGAATAATTTCTGTTCCAGAAAAAAAAATTACACTATTAATCTCAACTAGATTCATTAGCTCTAATAAGCCAAAATATGAATGATGAGATGAACTTACCTAAAGTTAAGGGTGGTGGTTTTGGATCAAGAACATATTCTCTTTCTGGATCTTCCACTTTAGGGCCTTGTACCGTTGTTTTAAGGCCAGTATCTATTACTGCTCTTGTATTTCTTTTTAGAGACTTGGATCTGGTGTCTCTCTGTTGTGCCTTTGTCTTGGAAGGATCTGCTATTGAAAGATTTCGAAGCTGAAGGTCATGTAAAATGTGATCTTGTAAAGCAACTGCAGTGACTGCTAAGTTATCTTGTTTAGATGAATGACCCTAAAAAGTAGGAAAAAAGCCTTACATGCAGAACGTTATGTAATACATCATTTGGAAGAAAACTTAGGCTTTACTACTCAGCCCTGGCAGCACACTAGACCAAAGTTAATAGTAAACAGTGCTTGACCCATGTCACCTAGGTGCAGGGAAGCCCGGTGTCCCCATTCGTGTTGGCGACACAGTAATATCGTTTAATTACTGAGGTCTTAAAAATGAATTAATTCGTCATGACCTATAAAAGCTGCGCATGCCTGAACACATTCTGTTTCACTACAGTAAAATTAGACTCAAGGCAAATCTGGCTTCTGTAATATGAAAGAGATTCTTGCAATTAAGTACATGCCTTTTTGGTGAAAACTTAGACGAAAACTGCACAGCTATGGGATGCTTTAGTGGGGACTAAGGGGACAGTTCCTCTTTGGAGCGAGGTCTTGCAACCATATTTTTATACTTTCAGATGGCTGAATTAAAATGTATTCAGGAGTGAAACAGTGTTTGTTTACACGCGGGTTGCATACCTTACGTTGTAGCATGCTGAGTCCGGAGAGGCGCCGCTCGGCCCCGTCGGGTTCGATCCTCGTGTCACATCCCTTGAATTCTCCCACCGCAGGGACAAAAGCAACAGAAAGTCAGAGTTAGAGTGTACGTAAACATCTCTTCTGAAGTTTATGGGGAAGGTACATTTGGGAGTCTGATTGATCCGCGAATGTCTGCCAGAGCGCAGCACTGAGCCACGCACCGTGATTCTAGAGAGACTCACACCAGTCACGACCCACTGAGCCCTGTCCTCAAATCTCCAGCTAGTGGGAGGGAGCCTACGAATATAAATGAGAACAATCCATTGCTCGATACACTATCGTACGTAAACACAACAAAATTTCAGACTGACGAGATCAGAGAATAGGAAGTGAAGTATCTCTTTAAGAGGACATTTAAGCTGGGGTTTGAAGGACGGATAAGAGGGAAATGAACACACTTAACACCCCGGGATCAGGAGGAGACAAGGCACCGGGGGACTCGGCCTGTGTTTATTATTCATGGGGGAAAGGGAACCACGAATATCCTGGAATTCAAGGGGAGTCCTGTGACCTCAGTCTGTCCAGAACATAGAGATACAGAATACGGGGAACAAACCTGTTGCTGGGCAAGATACTATATCTGAGTTGTAGTGTCCTCACCTTAAAACAGGCGTAATAATGCACTCCTTACAGGGTTATTTTTAGGATTAAACGAGACCACCCTGCAAAGTGTCTAAAGGGCCCTTTCATGCAGAAGATACTCTGTAAGTGGTTCCTCTTGCTCCAGTTCCCTTTGAAACCGGTGGAAGAATTTGAATTGGCCCTTTTAGTTTTAGTTTTTAGGCAAGGGTCCAGCTTCTGAAGACAAGGGTCCAAAATCCACCGGAATGGAGAGAAACGGTAGTTATTAAAGTCACCTAGGAAATGGGGCCTCATTTTAAGACTAGAAAGCAAGAAATCCAAAATATGTATCTAAGGATCAACACCTGCATTAAATTAGTCGAGAAGAATAAAGTTGCTGTCGAGTGGAAAGTGAGGATACGGGAAACAAAGCTGTGATGTTTCCGAGGCTGAGTGGGGGCTAAGACGCTTCGGAAACTAGAAGGCAGTTTCTGTGCTCGCTTTCCAATCTGGCCTCAAGGCAGGCACGCAAGAAGTTCCTTCCTCCCTCCCTTCTTTCTTTCTTTTTAAATTTTTAAATGTTTATTTTTGAGGGGGGGAGGGGCAGAGAGAGGGAGAGAGGCTCTGAGCTGTCAGCTCGGAGCCTGACGTGGGGCTCAAACTCAGGAACCACGAGATCAGGGCCTGAGCCAAAGTCGAATGCTTAACCGACTGGGCCACCCAGGCCACCCCCAAGCAGGAAGTTTCTATCCAGCCTTTCCATCAGGACAGTGTAAGCCGCAGTAATGGCACAAGGGATTTGAAATGCTGTAGATCCCTTCCAGAATCTTCTTCTTTCACAACACCTGTACCCTGGCAGAACATAATTTACATCACACTAACAACTCTTTAATTATCACAGCTAGCTATCTACAGCCTACGGTTTTATCTCAAGCGACTGTACCGTAAGCCACTATGACTCACGTCAAGGTAAGAGCTTCTGAAAAGCGTGTACCTTCTCCGAGTTATTAACTTTCCGAGTTAATGATAATATCATTATCGGATAATAAATATCATCAGATATCTAGTCCCACTCCATTTTATAAAGGAGAAAACAAATCCAGAGATCAGGGGCTCCTTCAAGATTACGTATTTAATTAGTCTGCAACAATGGGAGGGTTAGAACCTTGATCCTTGCCCAGCTTTAAGAGCCAAAATGAACGAGAACATTCTTTCTTGGTAAATTCCACCATTAACAACCAGTTAGAAGTGTTAGGGCTTGGTCACAAAAATCTCCACGGTGGTGCCAGTGTCTACGTGACCTCAAGCTTATCGATAAGCATGCTAATGGGAAGCACGCACACGAGAGAAGGCCGCCGGACACGCTGCCTCGCTGTTTAGTAGCTGGTGGCCCCCTCGTTCGTGCGACGTGGGGACACGGCGCCGAGGGGGGCAGCAGCGCGCAGACGCGCAGGCTACCGGTGCAGGTGCTCCCTAACAACTTCGCCCTACCTGTGGGCTCGGCTCCCGCTCAGTGACGGGCAGTGTCACCGCTCTCACGCACCGGCCGGAGGTTAGGCCCGCCCAACAACGGTCGCGATTAAGTAGGCCGCGCGGGGGACCGAGGGCCTGCGCTGCCCGACGGGGTCCCCGCGGCCGCGCTCCCGCCCCGCGCCGGTGGCACCCGCCCCCAGAACCGACCTCCGCGCGGCTCGCCGTTGCCC